GTTTTGGATGCTCTTTATATCCACGCGTAGGTGGAGACGTACTCTACAACTTTCATTTAGACTCCGTCGGCTAATTTGACTTTATTTTTAAAGTTCTATTTTTAACAGGCCGGGACAGGAAAAGTCTGTTAAAAATTCACAACTTCTTCATCCGACGTCCGTTTTCGTCTGTCTTTTTACCGTTGCGCTACTATTAATGAGATCTTCAATTCTCATTTAGGTTGCGTTGGCCAAAAATCGATCGATCTAAAATTCGAATTTCGGGTTGTGTACTACTATGCCAAATTTTAGAAAAATCATAACTTCCTCATACGAAGTCAGATTTTGACGTTCTTTTTTTGTATGTTCTCGGTTTAATGTATACTACAACTTTTGTTTAGATCACTAAGGCTAAAAAGGCTTCTATCGTAAATTCACTATTTACGTCTCCCGGTGTCGTGTCGGTTTTGCCGTAAAACTTCGACGAGCCATAACTTCTTCGTTATAACTCGGATTTCGGCGTTCTTTATATGTACGGAACCCTTGTAACATATACTATGACTTGGTTAAGATTATTCATTCTAAATAATCTTCTATTAAAAATTCATTTTTGACGCTAATCGTCTCTAAATTGACTAGCCCGAATCTACGGGCGTTACACATCCCTCATATGTATTCTCATAAGATACAACAAAAGCATCACCGTGTATGTGAAAAATCTTGAGTATAATTTGCCATGATAGTAATGAAACAAGGTCTCTTTGCTAATGTTATATGCATATCCACTTTGTTATAATCGATGTTTTTACTATGTAAAATTAAATATCCTATTACATTATTCTTACCCATCTTCCTACTCAGTTCATTTCATGTGTGTTTGGAAAAAGTAACTGTTAGCTGGAAGCGGGTAGTGGTTAGCTGATAGCGGGTAGCTGGTAGCGTGTAGCGGATAGCTAGTAGCAGGAAACTGTAGCTTTTATTTGTTATATGAATGCTTGGCAAAAGTAGCTGGAAGCTTTTGAAATATATAAAATTACATAAAAGGACAATTGATTAAAAATAAATAAATATATAAATATATTTTTAAGGGTAATTATGGAAATTAATTTCAAAAGCTCAGTAGCATTTTGTTAAACACTACATGAAGTAGCTTTTAGAATTTGAACGTTTTGTTTAAACTAAAAGCTAAACGCTCGTACTGCCAAACAAAACTTTTTGTTTAAACCGGAGCGTTTTGTCAAAAGCTAAAAGCTAGAAGCTCTCAAACGTTTCTAAAAGGCCCCTGCCAAACATGCCCTTCTTCAGATCATCAAGTATGATAACGGAACACAACCAAATATATTATACTATTTAATATAGTAATCCATTTCATCAGGTTAAATATAAATTAAGTTAAATATAAGTATAGGTATAATTGAGCCGCCGAGGTAAGCTTGAAACTCAATTTGCTTTAATTTTCAAGCCCATACTTAACCTCGGTAAAAGCTTTCGAGTTAGTTTCAACTCTACTTGATTAGTTAACTAGCTGTGAGATCAGTATGTTATACGAGTTTAGTAAAACAAAAATGTATATATGAAGGTTTAAACAAAAATTTATTTAAATTTGAAATTTGAGATTTGAAATTTAAAATTTAAAAATTGAATTTAAAAGGAAACATATTAAATACAATATATAAGTATTAATATTGTAATTTATTGACTATTTTTAATTAAGCCAATTATTAATTGATGTGTAAATTTAATTTGTTAATTAAGAAAAGATAAAAAAATGACAAAATGACAAATGGAAAAAACATTTATTCAAAAATACCAAAAAATAATATGTGCCCAAGTGAATGTAAGAGTGACAAGTGGCAAAAAACATTCATTTATTAGAAACTAGGCGAATGCCCGCGCGTTGCGCAGAAACATCTATATAACTAAAATCTTTACAAATATATGTTTTTTTTAAATATAACAATAATGTTGTTAAATTTGATATAATAATTCGT